AAATAAGAGGAGTTCTAGGTTTTTTTTTATTTTGGTTTGTTTGTTTTTTGTTTTGAGTACAGGGTGTACACGGTCTTACTACATAGACCGGACTCATAGTGATTCTCCTGTTTTCAGCCTCCCAAGGGCTGAGATTACAGATGTGCACCACTAGGCTCAGTCTCAATTACTCTAAACGTGCCCTGGGGGCGGGGCCAGCATGGCACACTTGGGAGGTCTTCCAAGTTTTATCAGATGAAAATATGTCTGCAGCTACCAAAATGTAGATTTTACACAGTGTGACCCAGTAACTAGATGTGTGAAAGGTGTGTCAATGAGACCCTCCATTTGATTCCATAGACCGGGCAGCCTAAAGAAACTCCCTTGGAGAAATGAAAGATTGTCAGCTCAAAGTGAGACAAAAAATACACACAGCCTTCTAAGAAAATGAGTGATTTACTAGGAAAGGAGAAATCTAATAGAAATAGTACCCAAGGGACTCAGTAAGTATTAAAAATATTTTCCTGCAAAATATTTTTGGTAGGTTAAGTTGACTTGCTTGATAAAATGTTATATTTAGAATAATCAAGCTCTAAACCACACTATCATAGTTTATATCTCTTTACACTTCAGACTTGGAACAAAAATTCTGAAAGTTCTTAATAGCAATGTCTGATAACACCGTGGGAGTATCCTAATGAAGAAAGATAAGCTCATCATACTTGAGTACTTGGCTTGTCTTCATTTGGTGGCAATGAACATTCACGTCGCTTTCCAAGCCCTCCATCTGTGAGATGAACAGATTGAACAGGATGAGCTTTTCCAGTTCCAAATTTAATACTATATTTGGATATTTGTGGACTACTTTAAGCCCAGTATTAGGTTTCCAGGAGAGAATCGCACTGAGTGAGGATCCTCCCACCCCCTTTCTCCTCTTCCTGGACTCTGCCAACTGGACACGGCTCACAACTTTGCTTTTCTGGGAGGGTCATGGCGACATGACCAAGTAGGCCTTTCTCAGGCCTGCCTTTCTAAGGTGCCTTTGAGTTGTTTATTTTCTAGAATGGACTGTGGATGCTTGTTCATCTCCAGATTTGCCCTCCACTTTACTTTTTAGTGGTTCATGTTGTGGCATGTAGTGATCACGTGCTCCATAAGGAGCTGGAACATGGACATAATGCATCTTAATTGTTTTTTAATCCCTCCCCTCTTTGCTCCCATAGGCTTCCCATCATCTCTTGGTTCCTATCTCCCTACTTCCTATTATCCAACTTATGTATTCATTTTTAATTTTTATAATATCCAAATTTTATTTGTTCTTTGATTATATTTTGGGTTTCACATAAAAGATTAACCAAGCAATGTATCTAAAAGTGTACCTTGATTTAGTGTGATTGACTTATGTGTTTTGTTTTTTGGCCCATTAGTCTGGCTGTATTTATAATTAACTTGATGTGGATTTCCAAAAAAGAAATGAATCTGATACTGGCAAAAGATAATTTCAGACAGGAAAATAGAGGGAAAGGAGGAAGAAAAACAATTGAGGTGCAATATGCATGTGTAACAGTTCCCTATAATAAATATAATCATTATGGAATCAATGAATGTAAACATATACTAATAAAAATAAAAGCACAAATACAAAGAAGTCAGTTGCAAAGAAGAAAAGCATAGCCATGCTACATTTAAACTTGTGTGTCTGATTGATTTCATTTAACATGGTTTCAAGGTACATATTCTTCCCCACAAATGAGTCAAATTTATCCTTCTTTATGTCAGGATAGTACTCCATTGTGTGTAAATGCCACATTTTCTTTATCTACTCATTGTTTGATGGACATATTGGCCTCTTTCATGATTTAGCTATTAGAAATTGTGCTGCTATAAATATGAGTATGCAGTTATTATGATGTTTTTAAACTTTTGTGTAGATGCTTAGAAGGAAAATAGCTGGGTCAAGTGGAACATGTAGTTTAGTTTTTTGAGGAATTGCCATAGTGATTTCCTAATGGTTGTACTAGTTTACATTCACAGCAACAGTGTAGAAAGATTTCTTTTTCTCTGCAACTTTGATTGCCATTTGTGGTGCATTTTTTTAATGGCATCTCACTGCTGCGTTAATTTGCATTTATCTAGTGGCTAGATATGGTGAACATTTTTTCATGCATTTACTGTCATTTGTACTTCTAAGAAGTATCTGTTCATTTTAGTTGTTCTTTTCTGATTATTTTATTTTGGGAGAATCTACTTTTTTGAGTTCTTTATATATTCTAGATATTAGTTCTCTGTCTCAGGAGAAGATGGTAAATTTTTTCCTTATTCTGTAGGTTGTCTTTTCATTCTGTTGATTGTTTCCCTTGTGCAGAAAGTTTTAAATTTAATATTATACGATTTTTTGATTTTTGGTATTATTTCTTGTGCAATAGGGGTACTGTTTAGAAAGTCCTTGACTGCACATATGTTTGAAGTTTTAGCTATTTTATCTTCTAGGAGATTGTTTCTGTTTTAACATTTAGATCTTTGATCTATTTCAATTTTAGTTTACTACACTGTGAGAAATATGGGTCTAGATTTGACCTTCTGCATATGGACAACCATTTTCAAGCACCATTTTTTTTTTTTTTTGAGATAGGATCTTGCTAAGTAGTGCAAGCTGGCCTTGAACTTGCTGTGTATCCCAGACTGGCCTCAAACTCATAGCAATCCTGATTCATTCTCCAGAGTGCTGGGATTATAGGCATGCACCACCACACCCAGCTCTGGTATCATTTGTTAAAGAGGGTATTTTTTCCTTTAGTGTATGTTTTGATCCTTTTATCAATAATCATATAGCTAGCTGCATGTGCTTGGAGTTGTTTTTGCATTATCCATTCTGTTCAATTTATCCACCTGTCTTTTCCCCCCAACAATACCATGATGTTTTTATCATTGTAGCTTTGTAGTATAACTTGACACCTGGGATTGTGACCCCTCTTGTTTTGCTCTTATTATCCAAGATTTCTTTTTGTATTCTGGGGTTTCTTCTGGTCCCATATAAATTTTAGGTGTGTTATCTAGTTCTGTGAGGAATACTATTGGTGTTTTGATTGGCACTGCATTAAATCTGTATATCAGTTTTGGAAGAATGGTTATTTTGATAATACTGCTTCTGCCTATTCAGGGACAGGGGGTAACTTTACATTTTCTGATGTCCTCTTCAAACTCCTTTTTCTTAGTATAGTTTTTCATTGTAGAGATTTTTGTTATTTCCTCAGGTTAATTCCTAAGTGGTTACTTTCTGTTGATACTATTGTGAATGGCACTGTTCTACTAATTTCTTTCTGAGTCCATTTTTTGTGTACGGCAATATCATTGATTTTTAAATTTTTTTAATTTTTATTTTTTGGTACCAGGAATCAAACTCAGGACTTTGTGGTTGCCAGGTAGGTGCTGTGCCACTGAGCTATATCCTTGGCCCTTTTGGGAGAATTTGTGTCACAAAATAGCATCTTTTTTTTTTTTTTTTTTTTTGTCTTTTTGGGACAGGATTTTGCTATGTAATTCAGGCTGTCCTCAACTCACTTTGTAGTTCACACTGGCCTTGAGTCCTGCCTCAGCCTCCTGAGGGCTAAAATTACTAACTATACATCACCATGCCTGGATACCATTGATTTTTTTGTGATAATTTTATATCTTGCTACATACTGAATTTGGTTATTGTCCCGTCCAGTGGGTCAGTCAACGAAGGTCAGCTGGGAGAGGAGTGGGGAATGGAGGAGGGGACAAAGGACAGGAGACGCGAGAAATGGAGACAAGACAGGATTCTGATCAAGTCTTGTTTATTCAGGGGAGGTGCTGGGTATATATAGTGGAAGCATAGGGAAATGATGGGTAAAAGACACAAGTAATTAGGCAACCAGCTATGACAGGAAGTCCCACCTCTGGGGCATGGCAGGAGGCTTATGGGAAATAGGCGGGGTAAGAATAATTAAGAGGGGCCGGGGAGATGGCTCAGTGGAATAAGTGCTTCCCTGGCAAGCACAAGGGCGTGAGTTCAATCCCCTGTTCTGCTAAAAAAAAAAAAAAAAAAAAAAAGAAGAATTAAGAGCTTAGCTCAGCAGAGGTAGGGGAAGAGGAAGTCAGTGTCACTAATGACGCTGATGCACCAAGAGAATTTTATAGGTCAGAGGCACTCAGGTGACCATTATGGGATACATGGCGCAGAGTCATGATGTGACAGTTTCACAGGAACCCAGAAACCCACTTGCAATAGGATTGGAGGCCTGGAGTTATTGAGCCTCCCACAGGTTATTAGTTCTAAATATCTTGGTGTAATTTTGGGACTTTCTATGTAGAGGATCATGTCATCTGCAAATAGTGATAAATCAACTTCTTTCTTTCCTATACACACCTCTTTTATTTCTTTCTCTTGCTTGATTGCTCGGGGAATATTTTGAGAAATATATTGAGCAAGAGTGGTGATAGTGGATATCCTTGTCTTGTTCTTGACTTTAGAGGGAAAGCTTTCAGTTTTTCCCCATTTAATATGATGTTGAACATTGGTTTGTCATAAATGGCTCATCATATTTATTTATTTATTTATTTATTTATTTATTTATTTTGCTTATAGTATACTTTAATTCCCAATGCACATTCATTCACTCAATGACAGACTAAAATGTACATTCTTTTATGATAAGCCAGAACATCTATTATCCCAATAATACAAAAAGAAAACAGGTACAGAATTAGTATTAAGGGACTTCCTTAATTAAAATTACCAAAAAAAGAAAAAGAATATATTTTTATACTCTTTTATTTCCACTCCACTCTTTGGCTGAATTTTATTAATAGAATATCTGCCCTTCTTAATTCTTCTCTTATGAAAGGCATCACTCCCTAGTTACTCAAACCAAGCTTCCTCCTTCTCTTCCTCCTTGACCTCCCCATCTATACTCCAGAACTATTAACAAGACATCTCTTTATATTTCTCTGGAATTAATCTCTTCTTCAACAGAGTTCTCTTTTGCAATTCCATTTCTTCATAAGTGTGGCATATGAGATTTTAACTGTTCTGTTCCAGTTTTTTCTTCTTCAGTCAGTGGTAACAGCTCCACATCTGTTTGCTTTCGTAGTTCTTCTATCATGGTCATAGTTTTATTCAAAGTAGTATAAATGCGGCTCTTAATCTCTTTCTGTTCAATCGCAACAGGTTTAAAATGTGCATACAAAGTTTGGTATCGAGACTTTATGGCTGATAATTCCTTTATGAGTGTTACTGGATTTTTCTCTCCTGCTGAATCATGATGATTAGACTTGATTTCATATTCCAGCCTGTACTGAATATAATCCAGAGTCAGATCAGAGTCAGCTTTCTGGAACATCAGTTCTAGCTTATCGACCTTCGCCTCCATGTTGAATAGTTGACATTCCTCAGACCGGCTCATCATATTTAGATAAGGTCCTTCTATATCTATTTTCTCCAGTTTTTTTTTTTTAATCAAGAATGGATGGTGTATTTTATGAAAGGGTTTTTCTACATCAGTTGAGATTATCATGTGATTTTTGTCTTTGTTTATGTGATGTATTACATTTATTGATTTACATGTGTTGAATCATCCCTACATCTATGCGATCAGTCCTACTAAGTCACATGTGATCTTTTTAATGATTTCTTGCATTCTTCTTCACAGCATCTTGTTGAAGAAATTTGTGTTTATTAAAGAAATTGGCCTGTATTTTTCTTTGTTGGTTGCTTCCTGGTCTGGTTTTGAAATCAGGGTAGAGCTTCTAAGAATGGCTTTGGGAGTATTTCTTCCCTTTTGATTTCATTAAGGTCAATTTGGGGAGGATTGATATTCTCATGTCTTTCTAGAATTTGAGGGTGAATCCACTGGGACCTGTACTTTTCTTGTTGGTAGGGTTTTTTTTTTTTTAATTACTGCTTCAATTTCACTGCTTGTGTTGTTTTAAGATTTTTATATCTTCTTCATTGAGTTTGGTAATTTATATATATTTAGGAATCCATCCATTGTTCTGAATTACAATACAAGTTCTTAACGTAGTAAGATTTCAGCAGCATTTATTGCAGTTTTACCCTTTTCATTTCTAGTTGCATTGATTTGGGTCTTTCCAGCCTCCCCAGTGCTGGATTACAGGTGTGCACCACCATGCCTGGTCTTGGTAGCCAGCCCAGTGAGCCCAGGGGTGGGCAGGCATGGCATGTGGTACCAGGGATCTAACCCTGGTCCCTGCATTTGCCTAAGCAGACACTTAGTCTGCTGAGCTATCTCTCCATCCCTTGGGTCTTTTATTTTGAGTTGGGCATTTGTTTATTTCAAATAACAAGCTTTTTGATTTAATGATTCATTGTACTTTTTGATCTCAACTTCACTAATTTATGCTTTGATTTTTATAATTTTCTTCCACATACTAGACTTGGATTTAGATTTTTCTGGTACCTTGAGGTGCATCATTAGGTTTATTTATTTATTTATTTTGTGGAACCGGGGATTGAACTTAGGCCCTTGGGCTTGCCAGAGTAGTACTTATTCCACTGAGCCATCTCCCTGGCCCATAATTAGGTTTTCTTTTTGGAACCGGGGATTGAACTCAGGCCCTTGCACTTGCCAGGGAAGCACTTATTCCACTGAGCCATCTCCCTGGCCCATCATTAGGTTTTTTATTTGAACTCTTTTTTCTGATGATGTAAACTTTTACAGCTATATAGGAAGTAAATTAGGAACAATGATAACATCAAGGACAAACTGTATATTGTGGTACTATAAGAATCAATAATGTACCACTTTTAACCACAAAGGTCTATAATTATAGTATATATGCTTAAGACACACCAAAAATATTGGCATAGAATAAATACCTTCTAAATGTGAAAACTATACCTTTATTCTTTTTTTTAAAAATTTTGTTTATTTATTTGTGTGTGTGTGTGTGTGTGTGTGTGTGTGGTCAGCTCAGTTCACCAGGGGGCGGGGCTGACTGGCATGGGGGATTGAAACGTGGTCCCTGTGCTTTGCTAAGCTTGTTCTAAGTAGGTGCTTTAGACCACTGAGCCATTTCACCAGCCCCTATACCTTTATTAATAGTAAAAATGAATTAAATGTCTAAAATGTAGAATTAGCTATCTAGCTAGAGAATATTAAAGCTTGGAGGCTATACTAGTGAAGGTGGGGTAGGAAATGGGAGAACAAGAGGAGAAAGGTTAGAAAAATTAATCAATAGAAGATGAAAAAAGAGATTAAAGTGAGAAAAAGGATCCTAGTAAGTGCTAAGGGGAAATGAACAGAATTAGACCAAGGTAACAGAAAAGAACAAAGAAACAAACAAAGACAAAAGGGAGAAAAAACTTATTAAAAGAAAAAAATTAAAAGACAAAAGGTGGAGAAAAAAAGGAAAATGAGTTACCTAAGGCCTCAAATCAAGTAAAGAAGAAAGAGTTTGAAAGAAGAAAATAAGCCCCCCAATTTTTTTTTTTTTTTAATTTTTGGATGTTTGGTTTCTCTCTCGGTCCCACAGTCTGGGAATACAGCATGCTTTGGTTTTCTTCATCTGATGTTATGGCCTGTGAGGTTTTGTTTTTTACTTTTTTATTAATTTTATTGAGAAACAAATAGCAATGAGACAGTTTCAAAACAGGTTACTAGGGCAATTACAATATTAATACATTGCATATTGTTGTCTTTGTAGTAGCTATGTATAGTACAAGATGCAGACATGATATCCTGTCCAAACACTATTAGTACAAATCTTTCTTCTCATTGAATTAAGAGAAAGTAGCTGTATGTCTATTTTAACTAATATATATATTACAAAATGGTCCTTCATTTGTATCCCCTTTTTCTGTTTAGTTTTGTCATAGATGGTTATTCCATTGCCATTTAAATATTATAGGTGCATGAATTCAGCAAAATAATCCAATATAGTCCAGTAGTCCATAATAGTGGTGGGTTAGAACTGGCAATGTCAGAAGTTGTTGATGTGAGCCTTTTACAGCTCAGCATATTAATATAGCTTTACTTTTTATACTTCATTTTTATACTTTTCTGCTGGATGGTTAAGACCAAGCTAAAGCAGGACCTATATAACAAGAAATGTAACTTCTGTATCTGACAAGGCCAGTCAAATCCTCTTAGGATTTACCCTGAAATCCTGTACTTCAGTCTGTAGATCCTTTGTCAGTGATAGCCATGTGGATGAGTGATGGCCATTGCCTAACCAATTTGCTCTCTGTGGAAGCATGAGAGAATGTTTTCTTTCCATGTGACTCTCCTTAGGCCTACTCTACATCATTGAGCACTTCCTTCTGTGGCCCCATAATTCCCTTGATCAGAAAATTTGGGGCACAACTGAGTTACAGGATGTTACAGTACAGGTTCTCTTATGTCCTGAGTCCTCACTGACCTTGAATAGCTAGAGCCAAAATGTTGGTTTTCCTTGTAGGCTTGTGAGGTTTTAAAGTGTCCCCCACTCCAGATAGCCCTCTGCCCATCCACCTCAGGCTGAGGCTGTCATCCACGTAAAGGTGTGTCTTTGCTTATATCAGCCAGTGTTTTCTAGAGAAACAGATATAACACAATATACACAAATATATAAGAATTTATATTTGGCTTAAGATGGCTGCCCACAGTCAGGGGTGGAAAAGTGCAAAAGTTCTGTCTGCACACTGGGCACCTGCAGGACCTCCAAGGCATGGAGTGCTGTGTACTGATCCACGTGAGTCCTATCAGGAGGCCAGAGAGTCTCTCATGGAAGGCTGGACAGTCTGTGCTGGAAGCCAAGAGATGATATCCAAGGTGAAAGTGAAGACTGGAGTTCCTCCAAAGAAGACACAAGCAATCCTTCCTTCTTCATTTCCCTTTTATAGGATACTGGCCCATCATCCTCCCTGAGATTACCCTAGGGATTACCCTAGGAAGTATTATCAGCCTGTTTGAGTTTGGGTCTTTCACACTCAGAGCTATGGTGACCCAGTTTAGTTGGGTGTTACTCTGGTTGACACAATCAGCTGTCACATTGCTCATGTCAATAGATGGGAAAAGCAATCGGCTTCTGACCTGTGTTGGGCGTAGGCAGCAGGGCTAGGGCTCATGCAACCTTTGTACTTAGTGGCAGCCCTTTCATACTTACCTGCCTCTGGAAGCCACACAGGTAGGCCTGGCTTCTTACTGTGGAGGGTGGGGGTCCCTTGCCTTCTGGCCTGAGTTCTTCTCAGGCATTCTATGTCTGGTCCTTACCCTCTCTGTAACTGTCTCCAATGACTGTCTCTCACCCAATTACTGTGGGAGAGTTACATTGGGAACCCTGAAGTCAAGTTGTATTTTTAGTTGTTCTGAATCTCATTCTTAAATAATAAACTCCTTCACCAACTAGCACCTGTTTAAACACTCTTGCAATATTGTGGGAAGGGCACTGGATTCCTTCTTCAACTGCTGCCTGCTGGGGGGACAGAGTGACTTCAGAATAAAACTCCACTTATTTTTTTGTGACCAGGGATAAAACTTGGGACCCTGTGCTTGCCAGGCAGGCATTTATGCCATTGAGCTACATCCCTGGCTATTTTTGTAGCTTATAGTAGCCATGAGGTTTTCTTGGGGCCACCACTTCTGACCTAGTCCATTGTTTCTGACCCTAGGACTTACTTTGTGTCTCCAGAGACAGTTTTTCTTTCCTGGGAGACAGGGTGCACTTCCAGACTGCTTTATTTTTGGTGGGGGTGGGGGAACATTTCCCCAATTTCTCTGTAGCTTCTAATTTTCCTGTCAGCTCCTTTCTTGTTTTTCGAGCTCTACTTTTTTTTTTTTCCTTAAGTCATTATTGTTTAGTTGTCTGTGTTTTGGGTCTCAGAGAGATGGGTGGTCCACCCAGAAATGGGGAGCTCAAGGCTGGTTTCTGCTGCTTGCAAGCTAGGTACTCAAAAGAGTGGAAGTTAAGTCACTTTTGCTAGGGAAAGTTTGTTTTGTTGAACTTAAGGATAACCTCCCCTCCTGCCACCATGGGCATTCTGTTTATGAATTCCTTGAGCCTCAGGGAGTAGCGGGGGAAGGCTGCTGATAGAGCAGATCATCTTTCCCATCTGTACACTTAAAACGTTCCCGTGGGAGGAACTTTATGGGGAGAATTCCTTAGAACCCAAAATGCTTATACATAGAGGCCATTCAAAACATACACAGAACTCTTTCCTGACTTTCTCTTTGACCTTCAAATCTATTTTCTTCTAGATACCAGCCATCAAGTTGTATCATTAATGTTTTCCCATCATGCCCATTGGGGTCCAGCTACATGTTGACCAAAAAAAAAAAATCAACAAGAAGAATGTTGTTACTTTCTCTCATAAAAGTAGTCTTGAGAGAGGTTACCCCAGGCTATCACTGCCTCATCATATTTAGGATGTGAC